GTTTTATATTTGATAAATAAAGTTCTACAATATAACTAATGGTAGAATAACCATAACCAACTATACTGGTAACCATTGTGTGGTTGTGTCACAATAAAGAACATTGAACTCCATCTGATTTAACACTCTCCTTCTCATTTCCATTGTAAATCAAATAAACTAGGGAATCCATCTAAATACTGAAATGTTATATAGTCCATTATGTCCATTTCTACTGTATAATTGGTTTTGTGCTTCATACTCAGTGTACTGAGTTACTGAGTGCTGTGTTGGAATTCAATGAATATTAACTGCAATCAGTCAATAAGACAATCTTTATGGAAGACTAATATAAGATGTCATATCTAGATGCAGAAAACTGTACTTATCTGTTAAAGTAACATGTCATCCAGAAAATTCAATATTAGTATTCATTCTCTTTCTGGACCTACACATCTGGTTTGTTTTATATCAAATGGGTTTGCAAAAAAGTAAAATACAGTGCAGTGCAGTTATTTATTAGACTAATATAACGATATTGTACACTTAATTAAAATTTAATTCTAATGTGGCAAAAATGAGAAGGCTAAATACAGTATAAATTTAATTTTGTGTGCAAGCTGTAAAACATATCACACCACATTAATCAAGTGCCCGAGCCTGCTGACAAGGCCAGAGTTTTGTTTCCTCAATGTTGGAGACACCAATAGCCCAGCCTGAGGAGAGGTGGAACAATCAGAGACACTTTGGGAACCGGGGGCAGCTGATTGATGATTGCTGCTCCTGGAGCTCCATATCTGAATAGCAGTCCTTCTCGGTGCTTCTCTTCCAGCTGACTTGTTTGTGCTTTCCTCTCCACAGTGTGCTCAACCGAACCCCCATCCACCTGATACATGAAATCATACTGGTGGATGACTTCAGTGAAGACTGTAAGTATCAAGTGTGGACATTTTAAGTAGGAGGGTCAGGCCACTAAATACAGTTACAAATTGAACTTCTTTTTTTCTTTGCCTTGTGGGGTGATTTTTCCAAAGAAGTGTCTTTGGTTCTCTCAAGGTAGCCACAAAAAAAACAAACAAGCAGTCTTCTTTAAACTTTCTTGTGAGATTTTTTAAATCTTTATTCAAGGAAATATTTATTCTGTTTTAATACTTATTATATACAGAGGTTACCAGATGGGCAAGATGGGTTAAATGGCCTCCTCACTTTTGTAACCACTCTAATATTCTTTAAAGAAAACAAACTGGTGCCTCAAGGGCAGTGACTGCTTGTGCCAACAGTAGATTGTAGTGAAATAGCAACCACAAAGGACTTCACAACTGACAGAAGGTAGGCACACAAAAAAAATGTTTTGTTTCTTTCATTTTTCATGTATATTAGGCACCTTAAAGCCTAAAGGGTGATTCTAAAATATGAGCTTTCATTGAATGCATTTGTGAAGAAAGCTAAATCTGTCATATGCACTTAGAATTTTAATGCTCTTTATTTAATTTTTCAGCTAATGACTGCCTTCTGCTGACGAAGTTGCCCAAAGTGAAGTGCTTGCGAAATGACCAGCGAGAGGGTATGCAGAAAGGAGATTTGAAGTGTAATTTTAGTTTCATGATTTCTGTTGGTATCATACTGACACCTCACATTATAACTGTCTTGCTGATCATGTTGCGTATTGTTTTTTCACCTAGTGCCTTTTGTGAATTTTTTTTTACACAAAAATGTGATTTATTTCTCTATGACCCACCAACCAAACCGTCCTGATGTAATTTCTACTTTACACATTATATCCTGATGTGTTGTCCAAGCTCCTTGCTACTTACTCAAACTGAAAAACCTGTATGCACTTCTTTCACCTATGAAAGTGTTCAGTTTGAGAATTTGAGTTCTGATTATTTGCTTTAAAGTATTATCAAGTATTTGCGTAAAAAAATCTGTATTCCTCATTTTC